ATTTCTTAGGCCCTGTTTGAATGTGGAATGGTTATGAGTTCTAGAAAAGTTGTATTCAATTTTTTTGAAGTTTTTTTTTTTCCTTTTGATTCAATGTACTGAGAAAGAAATGAGAAGTTGAGATCAGTTTTCAGAGTGCTTTGGTTTGTGTGTTAAATAGCCATTCGTTCTGGAACACAGAACAGGATTGTAATAAAAGGATATGGACCAGTGGGAAAAAAACCAAAAACCAGCAAAAGTAGTGCTCAGACTAAGGCTTCCAATGATCTTAGTAACAAATGTTGTATATCCGGGTGAAAGTGATAGGCAAATAGGGCTCCTTCTACAGTATTCACCTGGCCTTTTTAAAATTTTTTATTTTTAATTGGAGGATAATTGCTTTACAATGTTGTGTTGGTTCCTGTTGTGCAACAAGATGAATCAGCCACAGGTACACATCTGTCCCCTCCATCTTGAGCCTCCCTCCCACCTCCCACCTCATCCCAGACCTCTAGGTTGTCACAGAGCAGCAGTTTGAGCTCCCTGAGTCATGCAGCACATTCCTATCAGCTATCTATTTTACATATGGTAGTATATACATTTCCATGCTACCCTCTCCATTTGTCCCATCCTCTCCTTCGCCCCCGCTGTGTCCACACGTCTTTCTCTATGTCTGTGTCTCTATTGCTGCCCTGCAAATAGGTCCATCAGTATCATCTTTCTAGATTCTCTTTTGTTGAGGTGCACGGACTCTCTCGTTGTGGAACACAGGTTCAGTAGTTAACGGCACAAGGGTTTAGCTGCTCCATGGCAGGTGAGATCTTGGTTCCCCACCCAGGGATCAAACTCACGTCCCCTGCATTGCAGGGCAGATTCGTAACCATATCGACCACCAGGAAAGTTCAGAGCCACCTGTTTTTTAATGGATGGAAGACACTTCATCAGCTTTGTTCACTCCCCAAAGGCAGAGCTCCCAGTAAAGCTGTCTCCATCGAGGGCACAGGATCCACACAAGCCATCCTGTGGCTGCTGCAGCGTCTCCCCCATTGGGAAGTGGGTTTCCTAAACTCACGAGTGCATATAGGACTGCCCTTCACAGAGCTCTGGATTCATGAAGGATTTCAGTGGCTTCTCACTAGCTTGGGAGTTTGCAGGCAGAATTTCAGAGTGGTGCCAGACAATGCTGATGGGGACTGGGGCCCCAGGAGCATCGGAGAGGCCCTATGGCCCGGCTGTTTGGGGTCCACACATACCCTCAGCCCCAAGTCAGGCCATCTTGTAGCTCAGAGGGTGGTCCTGGATCCAGAACACTTCCTCCCGACCCCTGAGCGCTTGAATGCCAATCAGGAGTCCCAGCCCACTCTCCCAGGCCTCTCTCCCTCAGAACTAAGTGTTGGTGGCCACCCCTGGTCCCGGTGTACCCTGGGAGCAGGGAGGCCACTGGGCCCCCAAGAGCAGGGGAGGGAAGGCCCTGTTAGCCCCTGTGAGGATGGGGCAATGCCCCCCTTTCCCGGCAGCTGGCAGAGCTGCCAGGCCCTGAGCTTCTGAATGCCCATTGCAGCCAGACACTGGACTCTGTTTCCCAGGCAGCCCCGTGCCAGGCCTGCCACCACCCAGAGAGAAGGAGCCTTTCTTCCCCGTTGGCCAAAGCAAAGGCTCCCAAAAGAGCATCAGCGGCAAGGGGCTGACCTCTGTTTAGAAAGCCAGGGCTTCCCATCCCCCCACCTTGGGAACCTCGGAGCTGCAAAGGGAAGTGAGCCCCCATCTTTGTGAGTTGTCTGCTCCCTCCTGACTCTAAAGCTACGGGATCCCCAGGCCTGCCTGGCTCACCGCCTCTAGCCCCCACACACCCCTACCTATTCATCAGGGCTCTGAAGGCCTTTCACAAGGCTCATCCTGTTGGCCTTGAAAGGGGCTTCCATTGAAGCATGCTCAGGGCTGTTTGGAGGGAGAGATTCCAACTGGAGCTACTGTGCCTGCTTTGAAGGTGCTTCCTAAGTTGCCTCAGTCGCATCTGACTCTGCCACCCCATGGACTGTAGCCTGCCAGACTCCTCTGTTCATGGAATTTTCCAGGCAAGAATACTGGAGTGAGTTGCCATTTTCTTCTCCAGGGGATCTTCCAGACCCAGGGATCGAACCCGCATCTCTTATGTCTCTTGCATTGGCAGGTGGGCTGTTTACGACAAGCTCCATCTGGGAAGCTGTGAAGGTAGTGGAGCGCAGACCTAGCGAGGTGGAGGTAATGGATGGGCCCCGGGGAGGGGCATGGAGTGGGTCTCCAGACCCAAGACTGCGGTCCCATATGGCTCCCAGGCTATTTTCTCTAAGGACTGATGCCCCAGCTCCGTGTAAGGGGTGGACCAAGGTGACTTGCAGAGGGCTTGGTCACTGCCAGGGCTTGCTGTCCACTCCTGACAGCCCCACTTGGATCCATGGATGAGCAAGTGCAGGGTTAGCTGGGACTGTGGAAGGACTGGGAGTCACTAGGTATAGACAGTCTCAGACAAAATGTCAGAGACTTTTTGGCATGACTTTTTAGGAAAACCAGGCTGTGGGGTTCCCTCCCCCATCAGTCCAACTCTGGGGAAACCCTAAGCTGGAAAACTAGGGGGCACCACCAGTCTTCTCTATGAGTGCATCCACTGTGGCGCCCCCACCCACACCCCCAGGCCAGGGAGAAGTAGCAGAGATGGAGATAGTCACCATGTGCCTACCACACATGTGCACCCAGGTGCAGCGATACCAAGACCTCACCATCGACAGAACCCGGGAGACGCAAAGATGAGCACCCGCAAACAAGCACACAGTGTGTGACAGTTGTTGGATCTTCATCAGAGGCACTGTGATGGGTGCCTGATCATTTCATTGTGGACAGGCACACAAGCATACACACAAAGAGACATAAATAGACTCACACACACACTGGAAGCCTAAAGACAAACACCTTACGGACTCAGACACAAAAGAGGGACAATCACACCTTGGACCCACAAAGATAAACACCCCAGTGGTGTCCCAAGGGATGGATTTGCCTGGGGGCAGGCAAACACCTTGTCTGCAGAGAACTTGAAGACAATAGTGAAAACACACCTTCAGGTCTGCTTTTTCCCACCTTGCACTGGCAATTCTTTAACCATGTCAGTGATAAGATATTCCTTTCCCCTCCCCAAACTATTTTGTTAATTCTAACCTGTTGGATTTTTTTCAGGTGATTTTTGTTGTGGTAAAATGTACAAACAGCTGTGGAAGAAAAACAACTGTGGTGTTGGAGAAGACTCTTGAGAGTCCTTGGACTGCAAGGAGATCCAACCAGTCAATCCTAAAGGAAATCAGTCCTGAATATTCATTGGAAAGACTGATGCTGAAGCTGAAACTCCAATACTTTGACCACCTGATGTGAAGAACTGACTCCTTGGAAATGCCCCTGATGCTGGGAAAGATTGAAGGCTGGAGGAGAAGGGGACAACAGAGGATGAGATGGTTGGATGGTATCACTGACTCAAAGGACATGAGTTTGAGCAAGCTCCTGGAGTTGGTGATAGACAGAGAGGCCTGGCGTGCTGCAGTCCATGGGGTCGCAAAGAGTCAGACATGACTGAGGACTGAACTGAAAATATACAAAACATACAATGAACCATTTGTTATTTTTTATCGTGACTATTTTAACCATTTTTAAGTGAACAATTCAATGGCATTGAGTGCACTCACAACGTTGTATAACCATCACCACTATTTCCAGAACTTTTTCATCATCCCCATCAGAAACCTTGCACCCATTAAACAACTTCCATTCCCCCTCCCCCAGCCCCTGGTAATCTCTTTCTACTTCCTGTTCCTATGAATTGCCTATTCTCAGTTTCTCATGTAAGTGGAATCATGTAACACGTGTCCTTTTGTGCCTCAACCTGTCGGCTCTTATAATAAACATGCAGGCTTCAAGTCGGGCTTCCCTGCTGGCTCAGCAGTAAAGAATCTGCCTGCAATGCAGAAGACTCGGGTTCAGTCCCTGGGTTGGGGAGATCCCCTGCAGGAGGGCATGGCCACCCACTCAGTATTCTTGCCTGGAGAATCCCATGGACAGAGGAGCCTGGCGGGCTGCAGTCCGTGGGGTTGCACAGAGTTAGACATGACTGAAGTGACTAAGCAGCCACAGCATCAAGCTTCAAGTCAGCACATTTTAATTAACTAGTTCTGTGTTCTGTATGGAAGTTAATCCCAACAAGTCCCAGATCCACACAACACAGTTGACCCCTCATTCAGTTCTGGTGTTTGGAATCAACTGGGGTTTGGAATCAACTGTTTTCAGGTGCAGTTCGTGTCTCCAAGCCCTAGGCTCTGTGATGGCGAGGTTGTAGAAACAGATTTGAATTTCTCCATTTTGTTAGTGTTTAAAACAATGAATCAAAATGTCTGTGTGAGACCATAATAGTTTTGTTAGGAAAGTGTGAATTTTCGATGTTATAGGAAATATTTTACTGAATTTGAACAGTCTGTTTAGAATTAGTTTCTTCGTTTAAAATTGTTAGTCTTTTATTCTGATTTAATTCTAAGGTAATTGTATTCATTATTGAGATAGACCAATATATAGGTATATATTTCCCTCTTTAAAAAAATATAATTTAAGAAATATGTATCTACTTTTCCCTTTTTGTACTATAATGATTGTTGCATTTTTAATTTTAGTTTTGAAATGACATGAATTTATATACAAAATTCAGTCAAAAGAAAATTTTGGCTGCCTGCCATTTATTCATTGTTATTCATCTGATGGTCGTTACCGCTCATAATTTTGTTCTATAGAGAAGGAGTGGTGTTAAGTATCCGCTCAGCCTATATGCTAGCTACACCCTGAAACAGACAATTACACCATACACAGACTTCTCCCTCCCTCCTCTCTCTCTTTCCCTCCTTCTCTCTCCTTCCCTCTCTGCTAAGTGCCCCAAACCAATGATCATGGGGTATGCAGATCTCCTTAGCGGACAACAAACCCCAAAATGAAAAGGTGGGTCACTTGCCCACCCGGTTCGGCCCAGGTTGAGCACCGCCGGTTCGACCCAGGTTGAGCACCGCCGTTGGGCAAGGTGCGGTCTGGAGTGGATGGGCGAGAGAGCGCCTCAGACTTGGACCAGAGAGGACGCCCGAAGCCAGGGAAACCCCCGCCCCTAGCCCCAAGGTCCCTTTCCTGCTGCACTTCCGAGGTCTACCACGAGGTGCCGCTGTAGCAAAGCGATCCCCACCTATCGCCCCTTCCGAACCCCCCGGGCGACGCTGGCGGAGGGAGCACCTTCTCTGTGTCAGGCCTCGTGCCCGGATCTGGGGGATCCGGATGAGTAAGGCACCGCCTCTTGTCCCGGAGCATCGCACACGCTGGCGTGGGAGACTCACAAGGAGGCAGTGACGGTGCCAGTGGCGGGCGCTGTCTGCGCACATAGGCAGGAGCGACATCGCCAGTCAGATCGTGCAGTGTAACCAGGGAAACAGCCCTGAGGAACAGCAGGGAGAGCCGGGAGCAGGGGAAGGAGACAGAGGGGTGCACAGGCCTGGAGGTGATCGAGGGCGTAGGGGAGCGGTCAGCAGAGGGACTGGTCGCTGAGTGCTTTTCATTTCAATTCAGTTCAGTTGCTCAGTCGTGTCCGACTCTTTGCGACTCCATGGACTGCAGCACGCCAGGCCTCCCTGTCCATCACCAACTCCCGGAGTTTACCCAAACTCATGTCCATTGAGTCGGTGATGCCATCCAACCATCTCATCCTTCGTTGTCTTCTTCTCCTCCAGCCTTCGATCTTTCCCAGCATCAGGGTCTTTTCAAATAAGGCAGTTCTTCCCATCAGGAGGCCAAAGTATTGGAGTTTCAGCTTCAGCATCAGTCTTTCCAATGAATATTCAGGACTAATTTCCTTTAGGATTGACTGGTTGGATCTTCTTGCTGTCCAAGGAACTCAAGAGTCTTCTGCAACACCAAGTGCTATTAATCCCAGCCTAAAGAGTTTGGGCTTTACCAGGTGGGACTCTAGGAAGCCAGAAAAAGGTCCGGTTGGAGGTACACTTAGAAAAGTATCCTGCTGTTATTTTTTAAGAATTGGCTGCAAATTTAAAGAATATGCACACATACACTCCTGAGTATTCACAGAATTTATCCAAAAGATACACAACAATGATAGACATTAGTTTCTCCTGGGAGTAAGACTGGGGGCTGGGCACAGGGGTGGGATGGAAATCTTCTCTGTGTTTATTAGTATTGAATTTTGAGCCATGTGAATGAATCACTTTTCTGAAAAATAAAAATTATTAAATTGAAGATTATAAAGTCTTTATAATTAAAAGCAAAAGATCATGGGGCTTCCCTGGTGGCTCAGTGGTGAAGAATCCACTTGCCAATGAAGGAGACCCAGGTTTAATCCCTGGTCTGGGAAGAGCCCACATGCCTTGGAGCAACTAAGCCTGTGCACCACAACTATTGAGCCAGTGCTCTAGAGCCCAGGAACTGCAAAGACTGAAGCTCCTACTGAAGCTCCTGGGCTTCAGTAGTTGCCTAGAGTCCATGCCCAGCAATGAGAGAATCCACTGCAATGAGAAGCCCCAGCACCACAACCAGAGAGTTGCCCCCTACTTGCCACAACTGGGGAAAAGCACGAACAACAATGAAGACCCAGCACAACCGAAATGAATGAATGAATGAATTTTTTAAAAAGATCACTTTGGCTATGTTGAGTAGGACAAGTTGCCGAGACAGAGACTGGAGGCAGAGAGCACGGCAGAAGACTGTGCACTGGACCTGATGAGAGATGGAGGCGGCGGCCTGGGTCAGACTGGGGGCGCGGGGGTGGGGGTGAGTGCAAGCTGGGGTCTCCAGCTTGGCAACAGGCACAGAGTTCAGTTTATCGGCTTTTATGTAGCTACAAAAAAGGAGGGGGGGGGGCATGAAAAGAATATACTGCTTTTTTTTTTAAGTCTTTATTGAACATGTTATAATATGGCTTCTTTTTTTTTTTCTTTTTTTTTTTTTATGTTTTGGTTTTCTGACCATGCGTCTTATGGGATCTTAGCCCCCTGACCAGGGATCGAACTCATACGCCCTGCATTGGAAGGTGAAGTCTTAACCACTGGACCAGCAGGATAACCCCCAAAGTATTGCTTTTTAAAAGAAAACTACAACATCCAAATGAACAAATATTTAGGTGTCTGTAGAATGGAACTAGTGCTAACCAGCCAATTTACTCATAAAATAAATTATATTCAATGTGAGTGCATGTTAATAGGTTTGATAAGTGGAGGGAAGGGATGCGCAATGGGAGCCTTGTGGGACCTGCCTCCATTCCATACCTCCAGGGTATGCAGTTAGCTGCAGCACTGGGACCGACCTCGGCTCCTCGGCCTCCCAGTCCACGGCCTCCCCTTGACCGCACCACTGCTGGTCGCTCAGTGGCGTCGGACTCTTTGTGACCCCATGGGCTGTAGCTCGCCAGGCTGCTCTGTCCATGGAATTCTCCAGGTAAGAACACGGGAGTAGGTTGTCTTTTCCTTCTCTAAGGGATCTTCCTCACCCAGGGATTGAACCCAGGTCTCCTGCATTACAGGTGGATTCTTTACCATCTGAGCCACCAGGGAAGCCCTAGAATGTCTCTGAACAGATACAAAGGAAACTGGTGTCAGTAGTTGTCTCTGGAGTGGGGAACCAAGGGCTGGGGAACCAGGTAGGAAACTTACCTTTTCTGTCTACCCTTTGTACAGATGGTATATTTTACAATGTGCTTTTAAAAAAATCAGGAAGAAAACATAACATCCTAGATAAACATCCAAGATACCTTGTTATCCAAAATGATAAATTTAGATTTCAAAATCGTAGGTACAATACGACTCCTATTTTTGTAGAGAAAAATGTACACTGTATCTCAATGTATAGCAAAGTGTTGCACTGTGCTATTTTAACTTAGTTTTATTTGACATTCTCCTGATAAAAATTCAAACAGTAGAAAAGGGGATAAATATAAAAATATGCCTCCCCCTCCTGCTTCCCTCAGTTCAGCTCCCTGTTGCCTCTGTTCAACTCATATTACCAGAAACATTAACAGTTATTAAGTTTGGGGGCAGGACTGCAGGGGATATTTTCTTTTTTGTGCTTTTCTGAAAGTTCCAATGTTTCTCAATAAGCATATATGCTGCTAAATCGCTTCAGTCATGTCTGACTCTATGTGGACTGCAGCCATCCCAGCTTCTCTGTCCAGGGGGATGCTCTAAGAATACTAGAGTGGGTCACCATGTCCTCCTCCAGGGGATATTCTCCATCCACGGATTGAGCCCATGTCTGACATCTCCTGTATTGGCAGGAGAGTTCTTTACCACTAGCACCACCTAGGAAGCCCCAAACATATATATTACTACGGAAATAAAAGATACATACATTTTTAAAGTGCTCAGAATTAAGTGAGGCCTGCCTGGGACCTCACTGGTGGTCCAGTGGCTAAGGCTCTGAGCCCACAGAGAAGGGGGCTCGGGGTCCACGCCTAGTCAGGGAACTAGACCCCACGTGCCACAACTAAGGGTTTGTTTTCACACGCCCCAACTGAAGACGCCTCACGCTGAAACTAAAAGACTCCATGTGCCGCAACTAAGACCCAGCGTAGCCACATAAATAAATAAATATATTTTAAAATAACAATAATATAATTTTTTTAAAGTGAAGTCTTCCTTCCTTCTTCCTTCCTTCCCTCCCTCTCCCAACTCTGGAGAAACAAACTTGGAGCTCCTCCACCACCGTTTCCATCCACACCAACCTCCCTCACTTTTCTAAGTTCCTGGAAAGGCTTCCAGCTCCATTTTAAAGAAAATCCTCCTTCTTCACCTTCTGCTCAGGCCTCATGGCCTCTACCCTCCCCTCCCTCCTTAAACCTCAGCCACCCTGACCTCCTTTCAGATGCAGAGCAGAACCATGGAAAAGAAACCTGTTGATTTTCTCAAGGGACTGAACCCGAGAATTCTGTCTTGCTCGCCCTCAGAGGTTCTTCGGCAATGGATCCGAAACACAGAAAGGCAGAAGGGGAAGCAGCCGGAAGACTCCTCTTTCACGAGATCTCATGTTAAAAACAACAAGCCTTGTTAAAACCGCACCTTAATGAGGCTCCTTCCAGGCCTAATTGTCACCATGGCAATGACCCCTAGCGGCCATCTTTAATTAACTCCGAGTCAGAGTCACCAAATGAACTTCTCCAGTAAATTGCCCGCCAGCCCAGGCAGTCACGCGGCCCCTCCTCCGTCCTTTGGCCTCCGGCACAGGTGATGGGGCAGAAAGTTCTCAGCCCTGGCTTTCCCGTCTGTTTGCTGATTCTACCTGCAAGGTCAGGGGAGGGGCTTAGATCCGTGATAATACTAGTAATAATAATAATCATAGAAGTGATAAGAGCTACAATGCTAAGTAATTTGCATTATCTCTCTTCTGAAAGATTTACTTATTTATTTTTGGCTGTTCTGGGTCTTCCTTGCTGTACGTGGGCTTTCCCTCGTTGTGGGGTGGGGGGCTGCTCTTCCTTGCGGTGCATAGGCTTCTCGTTGCGGTGGCTTCTCTTGTTGCGGAGCATGGGCTCTGGGTGTGCAGGCTTCAGTAGTGGTGGATCGTGGGCTCTGGGTGTGCAGGCTTCGGTAGTGGTGGATCACGGGCTTAGTTGCTCCATGGTATGTGGGATCTTCCCAGACAAGGGATTGAACCTGTGTCCTCTGCACTGACAGGCAGATTCTCAACCACTGGACCACCAGGGAAGCCCTGCATTATCTCTTCAGAGAAATCCTATGAGGGTTGCACTGTGACTACCCACCTCTTTCCAGATGAGGAAACAGAGGCACAGAGAGACTCAGCCAGTAAGTGGCAGAGCTGAGATGTAAACATAGACTCTAGAGCCACCTTTGGAATCCCCCGCTGGAGATGAAGTTCACAGGGTCACCTGCTTCTCTTGAGCACAGTAAATATCTGAGGTTTCCTGTCTACTGCTTTCCAGAGGTGTGATCTTGAGCCATTTGGTTCACATCTCTGAGCTTGATTCCTCATCTAGAAGAGGAATGGTGATTCAACTGGGTCAGGGGGTTGCAGCCTGAACAGCCTCATTAGTTCTGTTCAGTAATGACTCCCGACTCCATCAGAACCTTCCTGTTGTCTTTCCCCTGGTATGATTTCAGAAGCAAGATCCTATGAAGGTCAAGAGATAATAAATGTGATCATCTGTGCAAAGCCCCAAGCCCGGTGCCTGCCCATAGTAAGTGTTCAGTGAAAATTAGCTGTTACTGTTTCACCAAGTGAATTAAGTGGTCTCAGCTGTCCAAATGTGGCAATGGCCCTGAGAAAGACCTCCTCCAGGAGAGGGCTAACAGTCGGGAACACGGGGAAAAAGGAAGCCGTGGAGATGGCGCCACTGTCACCAGTTTTCGGGTGGGTGGGTGGAAGGCTCAGGCAGCTA